GCCACCCCACACCCATCACCGCTGACTGGGGGTGTCACCTGCCCAGAAGTAATAAGTGCCTTCCCATTAGTGGCCTGGCTGGCAGGAAACAGGTGCCCCACCTACCCATGACGACCGAGGCTCTCTTGTAGTTAGGGGACCTCTGGTCAATTCCAACACAAGTGGCCCAGTCCGGCACCCTCCTTGCTACTGTTATATTCGGGACCGGGGTGGCAGCCAGGATGTCCATCTCTCTCACGATGGGTCCCCCTCAATCGCGCTGACCCTCTACTTTCCCCAGAACGATGTCCTTTCTCCCAAGGGCTGGTCTCTCCTGCTAACATGCCCAAAGTATGTGAGACAATGCCTCTGTAGGGACAGGCAAAGGCCTATCCGAAAAACAAGAGACAAGGTGCTGGCCGGGCTAGGGGGGCCAGAGCAGGAGGCGCTCCATGTGAGTCTTCATGGTCGGGCAGGTTTCTCACAGGAGGAGAGCCATGATTCACCTTATGCGAAGCCCACTGTCCGGGAAGGTGGCTGGAGAGACCCTCCCTTAGAACTCTGGGCTGCCATCTCCCTTGGGCTGGGACTCAAGGCGCTTCCCTCCCTGCCTCCTTCCGGTGGGCCCAGGTGTTTGACGCCAGAGACTGCAGCTCTGCCCAGGAGATGTTCACCTACATCTGTAACCACATTAAGTATGGCACCAACCGCGGGAACATTCGGTGAGCGATTATCCTCACCCCAGGCCCAGCCTCCCACCCCCAGGCAGGGGCAGCAGCCTTGAGCCCGCTCTTCCCTCCACAGCTCGGCCATCACGGTGTTCCCACAACGCACCCCTGGCCGTGGAGACTTTCGCATCTGGAACAGTCAGTTGGTGCGCTATGCAGGCTACAGGCAGCAGGATGGCTCTGTGCGGGGCGACCCTGCCAATGTGGAGATCACTGAGGTAGGCGCAGAGAGCAGCCCATGAGGGGATCCCCTCAGGCAGAGACTGGGGAAGGCAGCAGTGAGGGTCCCGGGCTGAGCATAGCAGGGCTGGGAGAGGGCACGGTGCCATCACCACTGCCCTGCCTGTAGCTCTGCATCCAGCATGGCTGGACCCCAGGCCACGGCCGGTTCGATGTGCTGCCCCTGCTGCTCCAGGCCCCCGATGAGCCCCCCGAGGTCTTCCCTCTGCCCCCCGAACTGGTCCTCGAGGTGCCTCTGGAACACCCCACGTGAGCACCAGAAGCGCTGGGTCCGACGGCGGAGGAGGTGGTTGGCAAGGGGTGGTCTGCCAGGCGGGTCTCCCCCTGGGCCTGACTCTCCGTCCCAATGCTGCCCCAGGCTGGAGTGGTTTGCAGCCCTGGGCCTGCGCTGGTATGCCCTCCCGGCAGTAGCCAACATGCTGCTGGAAATTGGGGGGCTGGAGTTCCCCGCGGCTCCTTTCAGCGGCTGGTACATGAGCACTGAGATTGGCACTCGCAACCTGTGTGACCCCCACCGCTACAACATTCTAGAAGTGAGTGGGGCTGGTGGAGGGGTGGGAGGGGGCGGGACTTGCCTGCCTCACCATCCTGGGACCAGCTTTGAGAGAGGGTCCGGTGAGGGCTGTCCCCCAAAGCAGAATTGAGACTTGAGATAAAGTGACCCGATTTTAATATTGGTAAAGCGGGACACCATTGACCGGGGGTGGGAGGTGGGGTGTCTTGATTAAAAATTTGGTCTATATGAAGCAACAAAAATTTTCATAGAACGCAAAAATAGTATTGTAATATATTTTTTAATTTCAACATAAGTACAATTTACAAATACAATTTACATTTAAAAATTATGTATAGTATTATTTTATTCTTTGGCACATTTCTCATTTGAGTGAATTTTTTTTAGTAGATGGCTGTCATTGTTTAAAAGGTCATGACATTTTTCACAAGAATTTGTTAAATTATATTTCACACATAAAATGGCTTTCAAAATCTAAACACTTAATTGTGAATTTTCTGATGTCCACACTTTAGAAAAAACATGTTCAGTCGCAGCATTAGTTCCTGGTAAGGACAGCGCGTATTCCACAATTTTTAGTGCATTATTGTATGGAACATGGTTTGTTTCAAAATGATGAAATATTTCTAACCATTTGTTCTCTATTGTGATTTTTGCTGATGCCCAAGATTTAACCTTTTCCTTATCAATATATATTTTTAATAATGATACCTCATTAAAAAGATCATTTTCAAAAATATTACCATATGGGAAATTTTGAGTAATATGATCGAATGATTTTTGCACATCATTCCAGTACTGTCTGCTAAATTCAAGAAAATTTATGTATTTATGAAATAAATAAATAAATAAATTACCTAAATTATCTGATTTGTTGACATTACTTATCTAACTAGCACTAGCACGCAGTACGATGTGTATCGTCTGAGAGACAGTTACAAAATGTTTTCGTCGTTGCCAATGCCAAAAAATGCCATTGTTCATTAAGTCCAAACAATGGTGGTCGAATTCTAACAACTGATCAACAATGCGAACTTTGATAAGCAGTTCTCGATAATCAGTTCTCAACAATTATTTGTTATTATTAAAGTTTAACATTATAAACTTAACAAAAATAATATAAAACTCATATCCTGGCGAAATAGCCACATGGCAGCCAAAAATCATATATTCCCTTCCTGTTCTCCCGCTGTTCCCTAGCTTGTCGTGCATTCTTTCTAAAAATCGGGACTTTTTTAAAACACCGCAGGATGCAGGACAAATTGTTAAAAATCGGGACTGTCCCTCCAAAAGTGGGACGTCTGGTCACCTTAGACTGAGAGCCTAGGAACTCCCCAACGACTGGGGCGAAAGGGCGCGTCGGAACACGTGTTGCATGTGCATGTGTACTTCCTTTGGGGGCCAAGATTGGTAGCGTTCCTCAGATTCTCAAACCTAGGCTGCGATGAGAAGTAAGACACTAAGGCCAGATGGATAAGTGACTGACTTAAGTACCCTCTCTGTTTTGGGGTGCCTCTGCAGGCAAAAACCAGAACCAACTGGGCCAATGTTTCCCAAAGGGGGCGATACCATCCCCTGGGCCGGGGGAAGCAGGGTGGCACTGGCACAATCCAGGTGGGAGGGTCACTGCAAAAGAAGATGGCCTATGCTTCCTCCTGGATTCTGGGCTAGGACCAAAGTGGGTGGTGGCCAGGGTGGGCACCGAGGACTGTCTTTTCTGAAAAAGAGAGGTAGGCCAAATAAGTTTGGGACCCTACGAACTGGGCAGTCAAGTCTCCGGATGGCCACCTGCCTTCCCAAATTGGAAGGAATGATGTTCTCTGCCACTCTCTGTGGCCGGTGGCTCTCCCAATCCCACATGCACCCCTGCTCCCAGGATGTGGCCGTCTGCATGGACCTGGACACACGGACAACTTCGTCCTTGTGGAAGGACAAGGCGGCTGTGGAAATTAACTTGGCGGTGCTGCACAGTTACCAGGTGCGTGGGCTGAATGAGCAGGGGGTAGGGGGGCGCTAGGGGGCTGGGGGCAGAGAGAGGGGTACACTTAGTAACTGGGGAGGGCTGAGATGTATAAAGGATCCCATTGTTCGTAGGGACCTATGTAGTTCAGCAATATGGAGCCTCCTTGTACCTGCTGCCATGGGCTGGGGCCTGATGCTTTACAGGGATGTTTTTCCGCTGGGTCCTGGGTACAGTGGCTTGTGGGACCCACTGTGTCCTGGGAGCCCCAATACCTTGATCCAGTAAGTCTAGTAAGTCGTCAGGGAGCGGATGTTGAATGCATCCGTGGAGTCTAGAGTTTGGGCTATTTTGGGTTTGAGGGCAGGGAATACTGAACCAAGGTTTGCACCTGATCATGCATGTGGGTGTGTCTGGTCTGGAGTTGCAGCGGAGGTGAAGGTGGGAAAGGGGGGGTGCCAGCTGCATCTGGGCCTGTCCTCTCTCCCCTTCCCTTTTCCCCCCTCCCCCCTCCAGCTGGCCAAAGTGACCATTGTGGACCACCATGCTGCTACAGCCTCCTTCATGAAGCACCTGGAGAATGAGCAGAAGGCGAGGGGCGGGTGCCCAGCTGACTGGGCCTGGATCGTGCCCCCTCTCTCTGGCAGCCTCACACCTGTCTTCCATCAAGAGATGGTCAACTATTTCCTGTCCCCGGCTTTCCACTACCAGGTGCCCACCCCAACTGGCTCCTACCCACTTGGGGCCAGTTCCCACCCACCCAGAGCAGCCCTCGGAGCTTCTAATCTTCTCTTTGTTCACCTCTGACCCACCCCGTCCCTTTTCTGCAGCCAGATCCCTGGAAGGGAAGCACAGCCAAGGGCACAGGCATCACCAGGAAAAAGACCTTTAAGGAAGTGGCCAAGTAGGTACCCTAGGAGTGTTGCCCCCTACCCCCACCCAGGATTGAGCCCCAGGGCAGGGGTCTGGAGCAGCAAACCGCCCCTCAGTACCCAAAGGACTCACTGAGATTGGATTCAGACCCCCGCCTTGATGGCCAGGGCAGGCCCTGCCTCCGTGGCCCTGAGGATCCCCTTGCCCCACCCTCACCCTCAGCGCAGTGAAGATCTCAGCCTCGCTCATGGGCACTCTGATGGCAAAGAGAGTGAAGGCAACCATCCTGTATGGCTCGGAGACCGGCCGGGCGGAGAGCTACGCCCAGCAGCTGGGGAGGCTCTTCCGCAAGGCTTTCGATCCCAAGGTAAGTTGAGCCCGAAGGGACGGGTCTGGGAAGACTGGGCGGGGAGGGGGTCTTCATGAAGAGCAGCTGTGGGGGGCAGGGTCCCAACTCAAGACTCCTGAGGAGGTCTGAACCCTGCCCTGCCAGGGGCGTAGCTTCCCTCCCTTCACCCCACCGCTGCCCCTTCCAGGTCCTGTGCATGGATGAATATGACGTGGTGTCCCTGGAGCATGAGACGCTGGTGGTGGTGGTGACCAGCACGTTTGGAAATGGCGACCCACCCGAGAATGGCGAGGTAAGGTCGGGCAGGAGAGGGGACACTGGGAGACTCAAAACTTGGGTGGCTGGAGAGCCGAAAGTGAAGGTGCTCCGGGTTCCCCCGCCCCACGCCCCAGAGTGAGAGCATGGAAATGCTGCTGGGGGTGTGAAGGCCTTCACGAAGCCCAACTAAGAAATACGAGGAGACCCCGCTCATTGGCCACTTCAGCTTTTAAACCTCTGCTCTCACCAAAGCGAGGTGCCAACACCCGTTAGATGGCTTTCATTCACCAGAGCCAATCTGAAAAGGAACCCACAAACAAGCTACAACTAGAGTAGAGTACGGCCACCGAGCACTTTATTGTCAACCATTAGGTTCAGGTTTCTATCTCTGGGCCGTCTCAAGCTATATTCCTTTCTGGCCTCTCATCTTATCCAGATTCATTGTTCTACGCCTAAAGAGCCCCTCCAAACACCCTGAAATCTGCTACTGTCCCCTTCAGCCCTGGGTCTCATCGGCCTTTTCAAGAAACATCAAACGATTTCTAACTTTTTTTTAGTCTAAAAGTAGCTCACACCCCTATCAGCCCTAGAAAGTTCCGTTCTTAATTCCCCGCACCAAACCCCTCCCAGTCAATGCAGTCCTACCCAAAGCAACTGGTTCTGATTTCTGCCACCATGGATGCAAACCAAAGCAGGTGGTATGTCTGCCTTCCTTCACCCAGCAGAACATTCCATTGTTCCATTGTTCCATGGGCTCGTGCCTGTCTATTATCGAGTAGTATGCCTTGTAAGAATATACCCAGCTTGCATATCCTTTCTCCTGTTGATGAGCACCGGAGCTGTTTCCAGTTTTTGCCTAAAATGAATACATTTTTATGAACAGTTTTACAAAAGATTTTAATGGACCAAATTTTTTTCATCTCACTTGGATAAATACCTATGAGAGGAACTTCCTTTTAAAATAAAACTGCCAAATAGTCCAGCTGTACCCTTTAAGATTAGTGTTTCAATATTCACACATTTTACCTTAAAAAATTAAAAAGTTAAAAGAATAAATCTCAGAATATATACCACAGAAAGTGAGGTATGTTCACGAAAGAAACCAGCAAAAATATTGACAGCAAGATTGTCCACGTTCAACTGGAAACAACTCAAATGAGTATCAACAGTAGACTGGGCAGATTCATTGTGATATAGTCAAATGCTACACAGCCATGAGGATGAACAAATCACAACTGCACACGACAATATAGATGAATGTATACCGAAAAGGGAAAGAAAGGCTGCATAGCATGTGGATATGATTCATTTTGGGTGAAGTTCATAAACAGACAAAATGAATGCATGGTGTTAGAAGGCAGGATAGTAGTTGGGGAAGCTCGTGTGCTAATGACTGGAGAGGACAGGGGGCGTCTTCTAGGACACAATTCTTGATGCTACTACACGGGTATGTTCGGTTTGGGAACATCCCACAAAGCTGCACGTTTATACACGTTATGTGCATCTGGACAAAGCATGAAGACACTAAGAGCAGTACATTCAAGTTATGGTGAGTTATATGACCGCCCAAACACACCTACAGTGAACAGTTAGAGATAGTCCCTTCCAGGATGCGTTTTGATTTTCCTTGGGAAGGTCTACTCGAGGCCGTTCTGAGCCACATTCATGGCAGCAGGCACGATGACGGCATCTGCTTCCACAGTCTCCAGATCGCTCCACATCCTCCAGCTGCAACGGAGGTTTAGTGCCGGCTCCCGTGGAGGGGTTGCATAAAAAGATTCAATACCACTAGTGATCACGGCAACACACAGAATGGGAAGTTATTTTCTGCCGATCACACTAGCGAGAGCATGAGCAATGGGTAGCACTGCCTACCCTGCGGTGGCAATGTCACCTGAGACGGTCCTTCCAGAGGACAATTTGCCTACCTCAGTTAAGTTGTTTAATCCTTCTGACTCAGCGATTCCGTTCGCTAAATCCTACCCTACGGAAATAGGCAAAACCAGAAGCAAATCTCTACGCAGATGAGTCAGAAAGCATTGCTCCTGGGTTCCAAATCAGACATGCACTTGTTTATTCTAAGTAAAAACTGTTTGAACGCGTCTCTGCCATCCGTGGCTGGCTGTGGGCAAGTTCTCTCAGTCAGACCCTTGTCGTCATTGTCTCCTTAGGGTGCCTTTAAAACAGAGGTCCAAACAGAACTGTGACCATGGAGGGGATCTGCTGGGCCAGTTAAATTCAAGGCAGGTGGTCAGCTCAGAAGGTGATGGCAACTGAATCAGGAGGTTCCAGAAGAGAAATCCTTAATTAATCAATTTTTTTAACCAAAAGGGTAATCTTGATAGATTTCCTCCAAGGACATGGGATTATCAAGGAGTTATTAGAAAAACTAAATTCTGCATTGTGCTGAAAATTTTTTCTTTCCTATCATGACAATGCACCTGCTGACTCTTCGAGGGTAGCAAGGGCTATCCTATGAGAATTTGTTGACACACATAGCCCGTCCACCCTAACACCCCGATTTGGCACCTTCGGGCTTCTCTTCTGTTCTCTAAACCCAAAGGACACTTCAAAAGAACACAGTTTGAGTTCCCCGAGGATGGGCGGAGCTGCCACACTCACGTTAGGTACATAGAAGAGCCCAGAAACTCTCCAGGGAAGGGCTAGAGAGATGCCCTCGGAAGTGCAGCGGCTTAGATGCAGGATAGGCCAAGAAACAATAACTTCACATTTTGATGTTGTGTTGACTTAGGTTTCTATGATTTTGTAGTTATTGGGGGCTCGTACAACTCATCACAATCCATACATATATCCGTTGTGTCAAGCACATTTGTACATTTGTTGCCATCATCATTCTCAAAACATTTGCTTTCTACTTGAGCCCTTGATATCAGCTCATTTGGCCCCCTCCCTCCCCGCTCCCACTCCCTCATGAACCCTTGATAATTTATAAATTATTATTTTGTCATATCTTACACTTTCTGACGTCTCCCTTCACCCACTTTCCTGTTGTCCATCCCCCAGGGAGGAGGTTATATGTAGATCCTTGTAATTGGTTCCCCCTTCCTATCCCCACCTTCCCTCCACCCTCCCAGTATCACCACTCTCACCACTGGTCCTGAGGGGTTCATCTGTCCTGGATTCCCTGTGTTTCCATTTCCTATCTGTACCAGTGTACATCCTCTGGTCTAGCCAGATTTGTAAAGTAGAATTGGGATTATGATAGTGGGGGTGGGACGGGGAGGAAGCATTTAGGAACTAGAAGAAAGTTGTATGTTTCATCATTGCTGCACTGCACCCTGACTGGTTCATTTCCTCCCCATGACCCTTCCGTAAGGGGATGTCCAGTTGCCTACAGATGGGCTTTGGGTCTCCACTCCACACTCCCCCTCATTCACAATGATATTTTTTGTTCTTTAATGCCTGATACCTGATCCCTTCGACAGCTCGTGGTCACACAGGCTGGTGTGCTTCTTCCACGAGGTTTTGGGGTTTTTTTTTAACCTACTCTCATAGACACAAGAGTGTGGGATGAAGCCACGCTCTGAGGCCACCAGACGTCTGGAAGTTTTATACGTTAGGGGGCAGTCGAATGATGGTTATCATGGAGCCATTAAGCACCCCGGGGTAGTACTTGGCTGCTGATAGAAAGGCTGACAGGCAATTCAAACTCAAGCGGCTGTTCCACAGGAGAAGGAGGTACACAATAGTTGGCTGACAGCAAGGTAAAAACACAAACAAACAAACAAAAACAAGCAGCTCACAGGGCCGACAAATGTGAAGACAATGACAAAGGATCATAAAGTTGAGTGTCTGCCAATAGCTAAGACGACCCTAACTCGCCGCTCACTTTTTCCGCAGAGCTTTGCGGCTGCGCTGATGGAGATGTCCAGCCCCTACAACAACTCTCCTCGGCCGGAACAGCACAAGTGAGAGGGGGTGGGAGTCCTGAGGGGGCTGCAGGGCAGGGAGGTGTGTGGAGACACAGGAGGAGAGAGGCTGAAGCTAGAAGCTCTCTTCCTCCATGTTTCAGGCCATTTCCCCGACAGGTTAGAGGGCAGGTGCAGTGGCACCTGCTGAACAAGGCTCCAAGAGGCACCCCCCTCTCCCTAGGACCTGCCCCCATCCGTTCTTCAGGGCTCTGAACAGGCCAGTGGTCCAGAGACAGATCAGACCCAGAAGAGGCTGGTCCTCGACCCCAATCCCCACTTGGCTCTGGAGATACAGGGAGCTGAGCCAGATTGAGAGCAATGCCTCTTCCTGACCCCGGGGCCCTGGCTCAGCCTAGGCCCTTCTCCAGTTCCCGGGAACACCTGTCTTTGTCCTCTCTTGTCAGGAGTTACAAGATGCGTTTCAACAGTGTCTCTTGCTCAGACCCCCTGGTCTCTTCCTGGCGGCGGAAAAGAAAAGAGTCCAGTAACACAGACAGTGCTGGGGCGCTGGGCACCCTCCGGTATGCTTCTGGAGGGAGTGCTGGGAGGGCAGGCTCCCGGCAAACATGGGCTGGTTCGGGATGGGCCCCCATGATGGCGCCCTGTTCATCAGGTTCTGCGTGTTCGGGCTGGGCTCCCGGGCATATCCTCACTTCTGTGCCTTCGCGCGTGCTGTGGACACTCGGCTGGAGGAGCTGGGTGGAGAGCGGCTGCTGCAGATGGGCCAGGGGGATGAGCTGTGTGGCCAGGAGGAAGCCTTCCGCGGCTGGGCGCAGGCTGCCTTCCAGGTGGGCCCTGGGACCTGTCCTTAACATCTGGCCCCACTTCCCTCCTCCAACCCCTGGTTCTGGCTTCAACCGGGGAGGCCCTCACCACTGCCTACATCCCTGAGCTTTGCTGTTGCAACCTGCACTATTTCATCTAGAGCCCTCGCTGCTGCCCTGACTCTGCTTGGCTCCCTGGTCCCTTCCTGCTCCTTCCAACACCCAGCTCCCCTAGCCTGGTCCTGCGTGGTAGACAGCACGGCTCCACTAACAATGGCAGGTGCCAGGCTCCGCTGGAGAGCAGACAAGGTGCTGACAGGGGGAAGCCTAGGTCAGACACTGGCCGAGTCCCCTTAGTGGGCACACAAAGGAGGGGTGCAGGTCCAGGCAGGTAGGGGGAGAGAGGATCAGACAGCGGCAAGGTCTGAGATAGAGGCTAACATAGAAGTCAGAAAAGGTCACATCCTGCAGGCCTGTCACTGTCCTAGGCTGAGTTAGTGCCAGCCCACCAGATTGGGACTGGTGTAGAGGAGGAGGGTGCTCTAGGAGGTCAGGGTGCAGGGGCTTTGCTGGTAGAAGTCGAGGGTTTACTGGGGGAGAAGGGAGTCAGGCTAAAGAAACAAATAGGACCAGATTGGGAGAGAAGGGGGAACTGAAGGCAAGACCAGAGGAACCACTGGAGGTTGTGGGATGGGCCGGGAGAAGGACTGAGTCAGAATGACATTTTAGGAACATTATTTAAAGGCAAGAAGATTTTGCACTCAGCAGGGTGAGGACCAAAGAAGACATATAAAATCACCCCCAAAAAAGCAAAATGAACCTGGTTTAGTGATATGAGAAGGAAGCAGCCCATCCTGTGGAGCTTTTGCCTGACCAGAAACAGATCGACTATAGACCCTCCCAGGACCTGCCCCATAGGCCCCACAGCAGCCCCTTGGGCTCAGTGTAAGGACAGACAGACCAGCCCAAGCCTACCTCTAAGCTGCGTCCCATCCAGGACTTTCCATAAAAGACCATATTTCATCTTCACAAGCCAAGGATGAAGATTCAAACCAAAAACCAAACAGACTCATTCTGCCTCCTAGTGACCCTAGAGAACAGGGTAAAACTGCCCCCTGTGGGTTTCTAAGAAGGGAACTCTTGATGGGAGGAGAAAGCCTCGAACTGCTGACCTTGGGGTTAGCAACCCAATGCCTAACCACTACGCCGCCAGGGGTCCATCCAGGATGAGGACGAGGGCATGTAAAATGCAAGCAGAAAAACTAGAATTGGAATGAAGATCTGCACAGACCCATTCCCCGAGGGCTATTGTATGACCAGGCCTGTGTTCCAGGAAAGGAGGCAGGGGCTGGGAGAATGAACCATCAACACCAACGATATAAGTCATTCCTGGGTGGGACCCAAAGGATGTGCTGCGGCCCTTGGGCCACGAAGGGGCTGAAATTCCGGGGCCCAACCTCAGTGTGAATGTGGCCAAAGGTTCATGGTTTCTCTCCTGCTTCTCGGGGCTACTGATCTAATAGTCTTTTGCACCTCCACCCCTGTGGCCCCACCAGATGGAAGGAGACCCAAACTCGGCAGCCATTGAGTGGATGATGACACACAGCCACTCCGTACAGGGTTTCCTAGGCTTTGCACATATTTATGGGGTCACCAGCCTCATCTTTGTCTCGCAGAGCAACACAACTGCTGAACTGGTGTTTTGTAAGCCAGGGCTTGTAGGACAGGACCACCAGGACTGGAAGGAGGAGACTACAAAGCCAGCATGAGGGACCCCTTGCTCGGGCTGCTCCTTGGTGGTGGGAGGTCCTGGGTCCTCATCCACACCCCCCTCTTCTCAACCACCTCAGGCCTCCTGTGAGACTTTCTGTGTGGGAGAAGACGCCAAGGCTGCCGCCCGGGACATATTCAGCCCCAAGTGGAGCTGGAAGCGCCAGAGATACAGGCTGAGTGCCCAGGCCAAAGACCTCCAGCTGTTGCCAGGTGAAGTCGGCCTCACCTTGCAATACAGGGGGCCCAGGATTCCACATTAACCTGGAACTCAGGGTGCCAGGCTCTGTAGTGCAGTCTAATCTCTCTCTTCTGCTCCCCACCACCCACCCCCAGGCCTGATCCATGTACATAGGAGGAAAATGTTCCAAGCGACGGTCCTTTCGGTGGAGAACCTGCAAAGCAGCAAGTCCACGTGAGGAAGACTTCTTACCCCCACCCTCCCCAACTGCCCAAGACCCTTCTCTCCCATCGACCAGTCCTTGCTGCCTGTTCATGTGCCCCTCTTTCACCCCCAGCCGGGCCACCATCTTGGTGCGCCTAGACACAGAAGGCCAGCAGGGGTTACAGTACCAGCCAGGGGACCACATAGGCGTGTGCCCGCCCAACCGGCCCGGTCTCGTCGAGGCCCTGCTGAGCCGTGTAGAGGACCCACCACCACCCACAGAAGCTATCGCAGTGGAGCAGCTGGAGAAGGGCAGTCCTGGTGAGGGCCACCAGACGGTCTCCGCAGTGGGCAGCCGGCCTCTCCCAGCTGCCTGCCTCTGGCCCCAGGGCCTACTGGCTCCTGAGCTGACAAAGGGCCATACTAGCTGGGAGCAAAGCTGGCGCTGCCCACCTCCCGTTAGACTGGCCTGCTTCCTGTCTTAGAACCTCCCGTTTGGGCCCACCTGTACCCACATTCCAAAGCATGTAGGCTCCTCCCAAGAGTGCTCTGGCAGCCTAGCCTGTCCTATAGTTGACATCCAGTCTACCTCTTCCTTACCAGGGCCTGGGGTTAAAATAAGGAGTCAAAAAACCAAGCCCAATTCATGCCAGCCTGCCGCCCCCCAAACCCACCCAGGCTGTCCAGACAGGCTCCCCATCCAGCACTGTTCCAGACCAGCTCTCAAAAACCCCTCACATGGACATAGTCCATCCCATTGATGCCCTCACGAAACTGTCCTCAGCCCAAACCATCTCAAGTTCCAGCTTGCTCCTGAGAGCTCCCCTGTGTACAAACCCCCAGGTGGTCCACCCCCCGGCTGGGTGCGGGACCCCAGACTGCCCCCGTGCACGCTGCGCCAGGCTCTGACATTCTTCCTGGACATCACATCCCCACCCAGCCCTCGCCTTCTTCGACTGCTCAGCACCCTAGCTGAAGAGCCCAGCGAACAGCAGGAGCTGGAGGCCCTCAGCCAGGTGGGCTGCCATCATGGGGAAGGCCAGGAAAATCAATTGGCACTTGGCATTGGAGGGCAACCTTGTCTTCTATTATCTTCTGGGCTGTCTTTATCTGTCTAACTCTAGCAGACACTCCACGACCCAACTGGAGCATTACAAACTTCTCTTTGGCCTCTCAAGGTCTTTAAGAGCCTGGCACAGACATGTGCCTGAGAAACATTAGCTTGCACTAAAGGGAAGAAATCGTATCGATGATCAGCTGGTGGGAGAATTTTTTTGGCTGGGGATTGTCAAGTAGGAAGGTCAACAGGAAGGGCTATAGGGTTTCAAGCCCCCTTCACCCTGTCCCCTGCAGGACCCCCGGCACTATGAGGAATGGAAGTGGTTCCGCTGCCCCACGCTACTGGAAGTGCTGGAGCAGTTCCCATCGGTGGCCTTGCCCGCCGCCTTGCTCCTCACCCAGCTGCCCCTGCTGCAGCCCCGGTACTACTCAGTGAGCTCAGCACCCAGTGCCTACCCGGGGGAAGTCCACCTCACAGTAGCTGTGCTGGCATACAGGACCCAAGGTGAGGCTGGGGAGGAGGGACAGGACCAGACCATAGAGGTGATCCTGGAAGTCGGTGATCCACAGGCCCTCCGTCCTTCCCAATCCCACAGATGGGTTGGGCCCACTGCACTATGGCGTCTGCTCCACCTGGCTGAGTCAACTCAAGACAGGAGACGCTGTGCCCTGCTTCATCAGGGGGTAAGAAGGCGCTGCTGGGGCAGAGGTGAAGAAGGAGAGAAGGGAAAGGCAACAGGAAGAGAGACTGTGTATCTGCCTGTCCAAGCAGGGACCGGAGAAAGTGCCCCAGAAGGCTAGGGACAAATGGAAGAATCAACGGTGGGGCCGCGCTGGGTGGGGCCGGGGTGTTATTGGAAGCAGGGAGGACCTAGTTAACACTAGCAAGGGTGGGATATCTGACTAGTCCACTTCTGAACGCTCCTTGAGCCTCCATGCTGATTGGGGCCTCCTCAATAATTTGGACTCCCTAATTTTCTCTGAACCTACAGCTTCCCCTGGGACAGCGCTGTGATGAACCAACAGGCCCTGTGTGTGTTTTTTTTAAGTGTCATGTCTTTGTCCTTGGGGGGTTAGTCCTCCGCCCAGCAGCCAAGAAGAACTACTCAGCAGACCCATATTGAACCCAGAATTGTCTTCCCCAACTCTATAACTTCTGAATCTCCTGAGACATCAAAGTAGTCTTTGATCCAAATTTTTAAACGTTTTTATTGACATATAACTCACACAATACAGTGGCCTAGGTATCTTTTTTTTTTTTTTTTTTGGTCTAAGTGTCATTTAAAGAGTTGTGCAATCATCCCCACAATCAATTTGAGGACATTTCTACATTTCGATCTAAATTTAAACTCTAGCTCCTTCAGTCCAATCTCTAGCAACCGAAGGTCCAAGCCAGTACTGTCTGCAAAACCAGTTCTTTTCATAAAACGTACATAGTGCTTACTGCAAGCCAGGTGCTGTTGTAAGCACTTTTACAATATTACTGTATATACTCATGTGTAAGCCGAGTTTTTCAGCACATTTTTAATGCAGTTTTTGTGGTAAAATGAGGTGCCTCCGCTGATATTCGGGTCGGTTTATACTCGAGTATATATGGTAATTCATTTCTATTAGCGCCTCTCTGGGGCTGCAGCTGTTGAGGATAGGAAGGTTGGGGAAGCCAAGGCGGGGAGGGGGCCTGATGGAAACTCTCTCCCTCCAGGGCCCCCTCCTTCCGGCTGCCGCCTGACCCCAGCTTGCCCTGCATCCTTGTGGGACCTGGCACGGGTATTGCCCCCTTCCGGGGATTCTGGCAGGAGAGGCTGCACGACATTGAAAGCAAAGGTGAGTCTGGAGGCCAAGGGACTAGAAAGTCTGGGGAGTTTAACTCTCATGGGGCAGGGAAATAGAACGAAGTATGAAAAGCGGGCCCCAGAAATGTGAAGTTCATTAGATTCAAGGGAGGACACACACCTAGGGGCAATGGCCCTATTGGTGGAGATTCCTGATGCTGGACACATAGTGGGTGTTGACATGGATTAAGGACAAAAGGAAGAGAGGGAGCTGGGACCCCAGACGGATTCTGAACCCCACCAGGGCTGACCTAGGTGTGTCCAACGATCTAAGGAAGGCATCCAGTTTAGACTCAGGGTGCCCAAGGGTGCATGTCCATCAACACACACAGGTGGCAACTGAGAGGAAGGCTAAATGTGTGGGAGAATGCAAGGCTGGAGTCGGAAAGGGGCTGAAAAGAGTTTCAAGATATCAGCTTTAAGACAAAAGCAAAGGAACGGATCTCTGGGGCATGTCCCCAGCCTTCTTTGCGCTTCTGTAAATCAGGGATGGAGTGTCTATGCAACCAGCCTCCAAGTTTGTCCCAGCTGTAAAGGGTGTGGGCTGGTCAGTGGGCAGGTGTGGCTGGGGCTGGGACTGGGGCACGGAAGGCTTGTGAGCACGCCGCGGTGGGTGCCGTTCGCAGGGCTGCAGCCTGCCCCCATGACCTTGGTGTTTGGCTGCCGATGCTCCCAACTGGACCACCTCTACAGTGAGGAGGTGCGAGACGCTCAGCAGCGCGGGGTGTTTGACCAAGTTCTCACCGCTTTCTCCCGGGAACCGGACACCCCCAAGGTGCGGACCCTGAGCACTCCCTCGGGGGTAACCTGAACGAAGGGCTCCGACGGAGAGCCCAGGCCCTACATCCAGCCCCTCCGATCCCACCCAGAACACGGGCCCTGCCCCTCACTGGGACCACGACCTCAAGCCTAGGCTCCCCTGGGCTCCCCGAGCCCCGCCGCATTCAAGACCCTCCCCAGAGTTGGCTTCACACGTGGGGAGACTTTTCACCTGCCGCGCTCCGCCTCCCTCAGACCTACGTGCAGGACCTCCTGCGGACTGAGCTGGCCTCCGAGGTGTACCGCGTGCTGTGCCTGGAGCGTGGCCACGTGTTTGTCTGCGGCGACGTCACCATGGCGACCAACGTCCTACAAACGGTGCAGCGCATCCTAGCGGCGGAGGGGGAAATGGAGCTGGACGAGGCCGGCGACGTCATCGGCGTGCTCAGAGTACGAAGGGGCGGGGCCGGGGGCGGGGCCTGGCCGGGGTTCCGGAGCACCAGGGGCTCCGCGTGAGAGGAGGGGCGAGCTGGGCCCGGTTCTGAGCCACCTGCAGCAGCTCAGGATGGGTGGGAAGCCAGGAGGCGGGGGCTGGCAGACCGGCGGGCGGGAGTCCCACTCGGATTGCGAACCGGTTCCAAGGCAGAACCTTCCTCCCCGCGCAGGATCAGCAACGCTACCACGAGGACATTTTTGGGCTCACCCTGCGCACCCAGGAGGTGACCAGCCGCATTCGCACCCAGAGCTTTTCCTTGCAGGAGTCGCAGTTGCGGAGCGCAGTACCCTGGGCGATTGACCAGCCTGGTCTAGACATCCCCTGTCCTTGAGAGCCCTTTTGCTTTCTACGCCAGCCTTAACTTAGGCCACTCTTTTTCTCCCTTGCCGAGGTGTTTGCCCACATCTTTCTGGGGTCTGCAGAAAATCGGCCATATTCCTGGAAAATGCCCCCTCCCGTCCCCGGGGGGTTGGACTACGGAGCCCTGGGGGCCTCGTGGGTTATACATAGGGCTGCTAACCGCCAAGATCAGCGGTTGGAAACCACCAGCTGCTCGTCTGGAAAAAGATGAGCCTTCCTATTCCCGTACAGAGTTAGTCTCGGAAACCCCCAGGGCCAGTTCTACCCTGTCCTGCAGGGTCCCTATGAGTCAGAAACAACTTCAGGGCAGTGAGTCGGGTTTGGACTACATTTGGAAGAACCCCTTCCAGCAGCGATATTCCAGGATCTATTACCTCTTTTGTATAGATGCTTTTTAGCTTTCCTTTACCACTCTCGGGATCTAGTCTTTAAAACCCAATCCCTACGTCATTTGAGTATTTATTATTAAGGATGAGATGGTAAATAAATAAATATATACGTGTATATACGGAACCAGGTATCAATGAGTGATTCTAAGATGTCGAAAAGCACTCTGGTGGTGCAGCAGGCTAAGCATTTGGGGCTGCTGACAGGTGAGCAGGTTAGAGTCCACCAGCTGCTCCACCAGAGAGAAGCACCGCTTCTTCCCAGAAAGATTTGCAATCTCAGAAACTCCATGGAACAGGGGTACTCTGTTCTCTCCATCCCCAGGACTCAGAATCGTCTCCACAGCAGTGGAACTGATGGGTTACAGTGTCTCACACTGCTCTTGCAGACAAGATAGGCCCTTAAAACAGCAGAAGGGAGCGCTTTGTCTTTTCACTTGGGGCACCCTTGTGCTGATGTGAGGTGCCAGTTCTTGAACAGGAGCGTCTATGTGCAAGAGCCTGCATCATCTGCACAGATCCAGTTCTCTGGAAAACACTGCTTCCAGCTAGCTCTGGCTCCCTTGCTCTCTTGGCTGAGGACTGAGGAAACCAGAGACGGACCTTGGCCTCCAGGACTATGTGGGGGGTGGGGTGGGGGGGGCAGAAGATTACAGCCACACACATATGCAAAGAGTCTTTACTGATTTCACACAGGATGAACCCCACCCACTTCCTAAGACATCACAGCAATGTAAACTGCAAAACACCACTCTTAAGGGTCCACTCCGCCCCCTCACCCACCCACACACACAGAAGTCCATGGGGACCTGAAGGAGAGGCAAGATCTGGCAGGTCCTGGACCTCATTTCCCTGAAATTAGTTTGGCTTCCACCTTGGCCCCTACCTATCCTCTGCCTTGAGCATGCTTTTAACTAGTGAAGAGTCCTTCCCTGCTGCCTTCCCCACGCCCTCAGGTGTGTGGACCATCTCTAGGACTTGTTTCCAGGGCTTTTGGTATCTCCTGACTCTTCAGTGCTCTCTGGGGCAAGTTCCTCATGGACCTGCCCAACTATGGCATCCCTGGGTCGGCAGTGTGTGGGTGGGGGAAGGCTCTGAAAAGGGCTTGGTGTGTCTTCCAGTTTCCGGTCGCTGCCGAACCTAGGAGACTGTGGGAGGAGAAAGTTCTTCACAACTAGTCCTGGGGCCAACATCCTTATCACCCCCAATTCCCATGGATTCCCATTCCTCCAGGACAAGAGCCACCCAATTTCCCTCTGGTTCCTTTCTCCCTCCTTAACATTTAATTCACCTCGTCTCCATCCCAAATCAGACCATACTGACCTTGAGGCAGTGTTTTAGTCAGTACTAGGGGTCTGACCAGGTTCCTGATGGGTCTCCTGAAACCCTCCAGGAAACAGGCTCCTAGCCCTCTGCGTTCTCCACTGCTGCCTGGGGCTGGAGGCAGGGCTGGAGCCTGGGGAGATGATCCATCATTGGGCAGTGTCCCTGATGCCCAGCATCCCCTCAGGTGTCTGTTCCCTGCACACCCCAGCTCCTCACCATCACTCGACCAGGATGGCTTCTCCTCATCAGGTGAGACTGGATGTGAGGGGCTGGACCAGCGCCTTGAGAGGGAAGAGGCTGAAGCCTCTCCCCACGGTTCCTGCTGCTGCTGCTGGTGAAGCTAGATGGAAGGGAAGAGGGATCAGGGACTCCTGTCCCTGAGTCTGAGGAACCTTAGTGGCATAGTGGGTTATACACCGGGCTGCTAACCACAAGGACAACAGTTCGAAACCACCAGCCACTTTGTGAGAGAAAGTTGAGACTTTCTAGTCCCATAAAACCCACCAGAGGAGTTCTACCCTATCCTATAAGAGCACTAGGAACTCAGATTTGATGTGGCGGCAGCAAGCCCCTGCATCCAATTCTGAGCCCCTAGGTGAAGTACGGAGAGGGATTTCAAATGAACCCTCCCTCCTCTGTCTGCTTCTGTTAAATATTTCCTTCGACTCTAACCCCCTCCCCAGTCTCTGTGGTGTTCACCTGTTTTCTTCCCCACATTTCTCTTTGCTGTACCCCTCTACTCACTTGGTGGAGGTAGATAGCATGGAGACTCATCTCAGCAGAAGCAAGGTCAGGGAGCTGGGCCAGCTTCTGGCACCCAGGGCTGACTGGGGACACACACCTGGCAAAGAAGATGCAATCGGTCACAAGGACATCCTAGAACCAGGCTTGACCTCCCCTTTCCAATGTTCCCATCGTGCCCAGCTCCCCGTTTCCTAGACAATCAGCTCCCACCACCTGTACTACCTTCCAGTAGCTCAGATCACCTTGCCTCACCTTGGGTCCTGGCCAATACGGGACATGGAGGCCAGAAGGCTGGCTGTGGCTGCAGCCGGGCAGGGAGCTGTGGGGCTCCGATCCATTGGGGACAGGAGGGGGTGCACCAGGAAGTTGGCTAGGAAGGCCTCTGGCTAGAGCAAGAGAAGAGGAAAAAGAGCAGGCAGTCAGAAGAACAGGCAGAGAGGGAGGTTGACAGGAGAGTAGGCTGGGTTGCACCGATATTGCACGTTATTGCACGTTAGTATCAACAGCGAGCGAGCCAAGCAGAAAAGGAAGCAGTGAGGGTCAGGAGGCGGGGAGGTCAGGTGGCCTGGGACTCACTGAAGATGAAGTGGAATCGCTGAGCAGCCCAGGAATGGAGGAACTGCGGGCCAAAGTGGCCCCACAGCTAGCTGCGTCTTGTTGAACTCGGCCCCAGAGATGCCCGAGGAACTTAGAGCTGTGCCCCGGGGGGCGCCATTGAGGATGTGCCAGGGAGAACCTCATTAAGGACAGCTCCGTCTTCCCGTCTTCTGCACGTTGAGCCAGCGAGGCCTCTGTCTGCCCTGCCGAGAGCCACTGGAAGCAAGAACAGTCCTTCAGGTGCTGGGGACACAGCTTGAACACTACTGTGGGAACCGGAAGGGGCAGGCTGGACAAGAAACCCGAGCCAAGAAACTGAGGCCCGGAGGGGGACAAGCTCAAGTTCTTCCCAAAACAGAGCAGCCTTGGTCTGAAGGCAGCACCGGCTCCACAGGTCGCAGGCCTGCGTACACCCAGTCCCCCGTGCCAGGTACCCGTCAGGAGTACTCTTCATACATCACCTCCTTTAGTCCTCCCGACGTGCCTTCCTTTTTACAGACCAGGAGGCTAAAGCTCCGGGAAGGTGGAGAGCCTTGGACAAGGTTACAGGTGGCACGCGAGGCGCTGGGATAGGAAGCCCCGGTCTGCTTTGAATGAGGTCAACTCCCAGCTGACCATAACACTGTCAGGAAGCTGGCAGCGGGGCTCTCACCTGAGGGTGGCCGTGGCGCCTCACATCCATGAGGGCAAAGGAACAGATGTCCCCAACCCCGGCCACATCCACTGTGAAGTGATGGAAAAAATCAATAATCTCCTGGGCACGAGGGCTAAGCCAGAAGAAGAGAAAAAGCGGGGTGAGGAGAGGGGACAGGAGCTCCTCCAGGAGGGACACCTACGGAGGGGAAAAAAGGGGGGTAACCTGCCGTGAAGCAGTTATGGAGGGAGGGGGGCCACGCCGGTCATCGAGAACCAGGGGCTCCTGGTGGCCTTCCCCCAGAAAGCGACCCCTCCGGCGCCTGCCCCCCAACCGCTGCCCCCTTCTCAGGCCCCGCGCTCTCACCGCCCGATATGGCAGCAGCCGCGCCATCTGCCGATAGGAGCCGGCTTTGCCGGAGGCGCCGGCCTCTTCGGGCAGGTAGTGCATGTGGGCCAAGGCCGCCTGGAGGAGGAGCTGCGCCGAGCGGGCCTGGCTCTGCTCCTCGGGCAGGAAGGACCTGCAGGCCGGGCGGGAAGGAGAGGGCGCCCCCCCGTTAGGAGGGTGCATGCGGGGCCTGCGGGGCCGCGAGGCCGGGCGCCCCGGGGCATCCCCTCGCACCTGGCCACGGTGGCGACGACCCCGAGCGCCGTCATGGCGGTGAGCACGTGCTGCACGGCGAGCACGTCCTCGTCGTAGACGGTGAGCACGAGCAGCGCGGCGAAGAGCGCGCCGGCGTAGAAGACGGCCTGGCGGGCCAGCAGCACCTGCAGGGGCGCGGGCGGC